AGCTGTCAAACATTACACAAAGATTTACAGTGGAATTAATACGACGGATAAGTATAAGTGGTTGCTCCTCAGTTGCATCTGACAGCTGTCTTTTCAGTGTTTCCTGAAAGGCCTAACAACAGGTTTTTGTTGTATTGGATTCTGGGTGAGATGAATTTTTATTGTATATGTCAGAACTTTTCTTGCTGCAGTTACTATGGGAGACAGTTCGGTGGCTTTTCATGGTGTACAAGAAAGGTAGATTTCACATTCTATGATCTAACTTTGCTAGGTCTTCAGGTATGCTTACCAATAAATTAATTGTGTGGACAGACGAATGAACTCCAGATCAACTCTTCTAAGGCTCTTCATTGCTTTTGATGGAAGGTGAAAGGCTCACACTAGGGCTTGCATTCTCAGCTCCTCTCCACCTGGCCCCAGTCTACCTGCTACTATGTCCCTTTTGTGCTGGTCCCACTGGTCTCCTCACTGTTTCCTCAAATACACCCTGGACATTTCCCCCTTCTTTTACTCAAGCTGTTCTTCTCAACTGAAATACCTCTTTCTTTTGCTCTATAAACCCAAGTCCTACCTGTTCTTTGTCAATGTTGTATTTCTTAATTATAGAAACAATGCATAAGTATATGCTCATTAGAAAAATATTCAAACAAACCAGGCACGGTGGCTCATGCCTGTAATCCCAGCACTTTAGGAGGCTGAGGCAGGTGGATCACCTGAGGTCAGGAGTTAAGACCAGACTGGCCAACAGGGTTAAACCCCATCTCCACTAAAAATACAAAAAATTAGTTGGGCATGGTGGCAGATGCCTGTAATCCCAGCTACTCAGGAGGCTGAGGCAAGAGAATCGCTTGAACCCGAGAGATGGAGGTTGCAGTGAGCCAAGATTGTGCCATTGCACTCCAGCCTGGGCAACAAAAGCAAAACTCTGTCTCAAAAAAAAAAAAGAAAAGAAAAATATTCAAACAATATAGAAATATACGTAAAAACTGAAAGTCGCTTTGAATTCTAGCTCTTCCCCTCTCCCACCTGCCAACTGTATTGCCCTTCTCCTAGTTTGCTAGTTATCTTTCTGACTTTTTCCCCGCATTTAATAAGCCTATATGTTTTTGTTTTCCTTCGTTTTTATGTAAGTAGGGTAGCTTTCTCCTCTTCAAGGCCTATATTAAATTTCCTCTCTCTCCCCAGAAACCTTCCTCATCATTTCAGCATCCAATGACCTCCTCCCCATAACCCTGCCATGGATTTCAACACTTGGTATCCATGGCAGACTACTGGCTTCTGATTCATCTCTTTATGATGTCGGTTGTTTAACTCCTTTATGTGTGAGTGTCTTATCACAGCCATGTAAAATCTTTGAGGGGAGGAATGTATTCTTGGTCTTTTGCAAGGTTTAGAACTGTATATGCACAAAACAGGTCTTCAGCCTTATTATTATTATTTTTTATTTTTGAGACGGAATCTCGCTCTGTCACCCAGGCTGGAGTGCAGTGGCATAATCTCGGCTCACTGAAACCTCCGCCTCTGGGGTTCAAGAGATTCTTCTGCCTCAGCCTTCCGAGTAGCTGGGACTACAGGTGCATGCCACCACGCCCAGCTAATTTTTGTATTTTTAGTAGAGATGGGGTTTCACCATATTGGCCAGGCTGGTCTCGAACTCCAGACCTCGTGATCCGCCCACCTCGGCCTCCCAAAGTGCTGGGATTACAAGCGTGAGCCACCGTGCCTGGCCCAGCCTGACTTCATTAGGTGACCCTTAGGTTTTCTCATTTCCTGATCTAGATGGGCAAGCTCTGCTCATACTCAGGGAAAGGTTAAAATGTACTATGAGGAAGAACTTCTGCGTTTTCGTAGCCTCTCCTAAGAATTCCCTCATACTGTTGTATGTGGTAAGTTGGTAGATTTCTATTAATATAAAGCAGCTGAGAAGTGCAGCAACTTTGTGAGAAGTTAGAGACTCCGGCCAAAAACTTTTCTTCTCTGACCTGTCAGACCAAGGACAGCTCCACCAGTTATAAACCCTCAGAGATGAAAATGTCACAGAGTGAAAGGGAGGTTTACAACACAGGCTGATGGGGGAACAGGTTGTCGGGGAAGCACCAGCTGGCCAAGGGGAACCCACTCTCTCAGACGTTTCAGACTTCCAAAATTTCAACTCTCACTGGACCAGTTCTCCAGTGGAATTAGTCACTGGTATCACAGCCACAGCAATTCAAAAAGCTTTCAGTTTTCCTTTTAACTTAAAAGCTATAAAGTCGAACTTGACATTCCTTAAAAAAATGTGATTTTCTCAGCCTCACAGAGAAGGCAAAACAGCCAATATAATGTATTTGTGTTTTATGATAAATACAATGCCTTGAACAAGTTACTAAATCTTTCTATGCCTTAGTTTTTTTTATCTAAAAAGGAGTATAACATTTGCGCCTACTTTACTGAATTCTGAGCATTAAAATGAGATAATCTAGTGCAGTATGCAGGGAAGCCTGGCTCATAGAAAATTCTCAGAACTGTTAGCTATGATGAGGACCGTCATGCTATGACTTCTCATGTCTATGTCAGCAGCTAAAAGAGTTTGCTTTCTCTCTTTTGTAAAGATAGGGTCTGCTGTGTCACCCAGGCGACAGCACCATGGCACGATCATGGCTCACAGCAGCCGCAAACTCCTGGGCTCAAGCAATCCTCCTGCCTCAGTCTCCCAAGCAGTTGAGATTACAGATGTGAACCACCATGCCTAGGTGAAAGGGTTTTTCACATGGGACTTTAGCCAAAGAAGGCATGCAAGTTAAGCATTTTTTACTGGTAAACATTATGAACAATATTTCTTGGGAAATGTTATTTAATTCCTTTATTTCCATTACAATGGGAATTAGAATCTATATTCTAATGCTTAGAATCTATATTCAACTGACTATTGCTTGAAAATAAATATGTTATTCAATGGAAAATCTCTTTTTTGTGAAAAATTTTCTCTGAAATGATATTAGTCATAACTAGATAATGCATTCCTTTTGACATCTTACATGTCTGCTATTAACAATCTTAATTCTTAAGTCTAAATAACCAGTGGAAAGGCTCTAACTTAACATATAATAATTAAGAATTTTGCTTTATCAAAAATTTTCTATTTGTCTCAAAAAAGAGCTTCAAGATCCTTCAAATGAGGCCATTAATCAAAGCAGATAAAAGTAATTTTAGTTACTAAATAAATGCTTAGAATGCTGCAGATAACCAAAGTAGTTAAAATTAACAGTCAAATTGTTAATTTTATGGTCTCAGATAGTTTTTGAGACACCATAGACAATACACAGAGTACATCTGAAGCAATTAGCTGGTTAATTCAGACACAACCCTATTTGGGGCATCAATTGATTACAAGTTTCAGGTTGAATTATTCTGTTATTCAATTGTTTACTTCACTTAGGCAATGTCTATAGCATAAGTAAACTTAGGCTATCTTAATAATTGATGTGTGTTTGTCAGTGTATTGACTAAGGATGTAGGACTTCAGATCAGAAAAAGAGGGTTTCAATCCGACACAGTGGCTCACGCCTGTAATCCCAGGACTTTGGGAGGCCAAGGCAAGTGGATCACTTGAAGTCAGGAGTTTGAGACCCTGGCCAACAGGGTGAAACCCTGTCTCTACTAAGAATACAAAAATTAGCCGGGCATGGTGGTGGGTACCTGTAATCCCAGCTACTGGGGAGGCTGCAGCACAAGAATTGCTTGAACCCAGGAGGCAGAGGTTGCAGTGAGCCAAGATTGCACCACTGCCTCCAGCCTAGGTAAAAGAGCTAGACCCTATCTGAAAAAGAAAGAAAGAAAAGAAAATGAGGGTTTAAATTTCAATTTGGTGACTTCCTACCTAAGTAAACTTGGGCAAATTGTTTAATCTTTCTAAGCGTCAGTGTTCTCATCACTAAAATCTAACACTTACTTTGCTGAGTTGCAAGGGTAAAATGAGGTCATATACATAAAGGCTTGCCTGGCACTTGGTAGGTAGACATTGAATTAATTCTTTTATTTTTTAAGTCACTTCAGTTACTGAGCCGTATTATTATAACAGATAAGTAAACACATAATGCATCAGGTTGTGATAAGCGCTACGGAGAACAACAAAGTGTGAATCCTTAGTGTCTACCAATGGGGACGGGGTAGCTAGAATGAGAAAAATAGAAGGGGACATTAATATGGTGGCTTAGCCTCAATCCATGCACGCATTGATGGCCAAGGTGCATGGGAGCAAGTTGTGTGGCCTTTTTTGCAGCCTTTATTGTTTCATAATTGTGACCTTCATAATCAGGTAGACACAGCCTAAAATTATACAGGCAGAGTGGCAAAGAGGAAGGAGTCAGGAATGAAAAAGTGGAGGAATGACACATGGGAGGCTAATGAGCTACAGGGCCAGCCCCTTGACGCCAGGATCCTCAGATCTAAAAGTGGAAGCCATCAGCTTGGAAACTCCCGCTTGCCACTGACACCCAACAATGCCATCTAGATGGCAGTGAGTTAGTTGTTTCAGCAGTTTATTTCAAGTATTTTTTAAAATTATTATTAAAGAAATTAAATGGCACATTACAGAAAGGATATAACCTAAATACAGAAAATTGAAAAGCTTTAAAAAAAAAATAAGTCACCAATAATTCCTTTAGCCTAATGCATTTAGTAACAGCATTGAGGTTAATTTCCTCCTAGTCCTTTTCAGGAGTATATTTAAAGATAAGTGAAATCATACAGTACACAGCCTGGATCCTGTTATTTTAAATATAACATTGTCTCATAGCATTTTCCTTGTTGCTAACCAGCTTTTCATACCTATCCTTTTAGCAAGTGAATAATATATCATTAAGTAAATGAACAGTAATTTACTTAATTTAACTATCTCCATATATTGTTAGATGTTTAGGATCTTTCCAGTTTCCAAATGTATACAAAGTATCACATTTGTGTACATTTTTCTGCATGTTTTCTTTTCCACATTTTTTTCTTTTTTTTTTTTGAGACAGAGTCTTGCTCTGTTGTCCAGGCTGGAGTGCAGCAGCATGACCAGAGCTCACTGCAGCCTCAACCTCCCAAGCTCAGGCGATTCTCTCACCTCAGCCTCCTGAGTAGCTGTGACCACAGGTATGTGCTATCATACTGGGTTGATTTTTTATATTTTATAGAGACAGAGTCTCACCAAGTTGCCCAGGCTGGTCTTGAACTCCTAGGCTCAGGCAATCCTCCTGCCTCAGCCTCCCGAAGTGCTGAGATTACAAGCATACGCCACAGTACCTGGCCTTCTTTTCCACATTTTAGATTATCTTCTTAGAATCAACTTTTAGAATTTCCAAAACATAAACTGTTCCAGGACATGGACATTTTATGACTCTTGATGCTTACTGCCAAATTGCTTTTCAAAGGGATTATAACAATGCCCAGTCCAAAGAATGGTGTAATGGTGTATGAGAGTAGGAAACCTCACTGCAGTCTTGAAAACAGTGGATCATTTCATTAATTTTTTAGAGCTTCAGTTTCCAGGTTGTGATATAAACAAGTAAACACACAGCATGTCAGATGCTGATCAGTACTAAAGACGGGATATGGCGGGGGGAGTGCTGCTGTTTTATATAGGATGATCAGGAAAGGCCTTTCTAAAAAGATGATATTTAGGCTAGATGCAGTGGCTCACACCTGTAAATGGCTCCCAGCATTGTGGGATGTGGTGGGCGGATCACCTGAGGTTAAGGGTTTGAGACCAGCCTAGCCAACATGGTGAAATCCCGTCCCTACTACAAATACCAAAAGTAGTTGGATGTGGTGGCAGGCACCTGTAATCCCAGCTACTGGGGGGAGGCTGAGACAGAAGAATCACTTGAACCCAGGAAGTGGCGGTTGCAGTGAGCAGAGATCATGCCACTGCACTCCAGCCTTGGCAACAAGAGTGAAACTCTCTCTCAAAAAAAAAAAAAAAAGAGAGAGAGAGAGATGATATTTGAATAAAAGCTGAAAGAAGTGAGGGATTAAAGTGTAAGAACTGCCCAAGGAAAGAGGGTTTCAAGCAAAGAAAGCATTAAGAAAGACCCTAAGACAAATCCTTGTTAGACGGCTTTCGGGGATCAGGAAGAAGGCCAGGGTGGCAGCAGCCAGTGAGAAGCAGGCAAGGAAGCAGAGGAGCTCAGAGGGAATGTGGGCAGCCAGGCCATTGAAGGCTTTATCAGCCATCGTAAGGATTTTTCTTTTACTCTGAGTAAGATGAGAAGACATTGAAGGGTTTTGAGTGGGAGGAGTCAAGAATTGGCTTGTATTTTACATGATTAAGTTATCCAACGTGTTCGGAATGGGCTACCGTACTTGAAACCAAGCTCAGCACCTTTCCCGGCAAACCTCCTACAGTCTCAGCATCTCCATCCTCTGACTCACCCATGCTCAAAACTGTAGTCATCTTTTACATCCCAAAACCAATTGTCACCAAGCTCTGTCAATTCTCCCTCCATAATGTCTCTTGCATTTGCCTTCTCTGTCCATTCCCATGGCCAAAAGCCTACCACAATCATTTTCTTTTTTTTTTCTTTTTTTGAAACAGGGTCTCCCAGGCTGGAGTGCATGGACACGATCACAGCTCATTGCAGCCTGGACCTCCCCGGTTCAAGCAATCCTCCCATCTCAACCTCTTGAGTCTCTGGAACCACAGGTGCACACTGCCATTCCTAGCTAACTTTTGTATTTTTTGTAGCAGCAGGGTTTTGCCATGTTACCCAGGCTGGTCTGGAATTCCTGGGCTCAAATGATCTGCCTGCCTCGACCTCCCAAAGTGCTGAAATTACAGGTGTAAGTCACCGTGCCCAGCCCCATAACTGTTTTCTAACACACTTCCCAGACTTCTACCTTTTTGCTCACACTCCTACCACCCAGTGCAGCTAGAACAATCTTCCTGGCAAAGCTTATCACTCAGGGGTCTACGCAGTATCTTTGCTGTCTCCCTGCTCTTCACTGCTCATAAGGTCCAGATCTTTAGAATGGAATTCAAGCCCTACCACAATTTGATCTTAATCTAGCGCTCAAAACTTATCTCCCATTGTTATTCAGCATAAACTGTACCTTCCTGTCTAACAAGTTCCTTGAACCAGCTCTGTACTTTATTACTGTACATCTTTGCTTACATCCTCTCCGCATCCCTGCACCTTCTGCTTAAAATACGCTTCCCTCAAAGCCCCACCCAGAAATCCTACCCACACTTCCCAGATCCCAAATATCCCTTTGTTCATGAAGCCATCCCCACTCTCCCTGGCTGGAATGATGTTTTTGTCCTTCTGTGCTCCCATAAGCTCTATTCCACTATCACACATTCTGTACCACATGATGCTATCATTTTGTGAATACCCTTTCTTTCCTGCTAGGTGATAAGTTCCTTGAGGATTCATGTCTTGTTTCTCACTGTGGCTCCTACAGCACTTGTTACAATACCTTGAACACAGTAGGCATCCAAGAAATGTTGGTGGAATGTAAATTCCCCAAGGCCTTGTTGCCAATTTGCTCTGGGAACAGAACTAGAATTCAGGACATCTGATTCCCAACTCCCTGTCCCTTTCCCAATACCATTCTATCTCTCTGTCTTCTTTGTGTGATTCATTGTTATCTCATCTGAATGACGTTCGAAACCACTAAGGAATTTTATGGAAGAGTGACTAAACAAAAAACAAATGCTGGGATGTATTTTCCATGTAGCCATTTAAGCCAAAGGGAACCTAATGAAGGGGCACTAAAAATTTGACCCTGAATAAAACAACAACAAACAAACAGAAGATGGCACATATAAGAACGTTTTAGCTTCTTAGGGTTTGAGTTTCGGCTTGCATTAATCTTATAGGAGTCAAATTGCCTTGTTTCTTGGTATGCCATAAATTTGTAGTCTGGGGGAAAAACTGTAAAACAAATAATTGGCTGCATGCGGTGGTTCATGCCTGTAATCCTAGCACTTTGGGAGGCTGAGGCAGGCAGACTACTTGAGGCCAGGGTTTTGAGACCAGCCTGCTAACACAGCAAGACCCCATCTCTACCAAAAAAGATTTTAAAAAAATTAGCTGGGCGTGGTGGTATGTGCCTGTAGTCCCAGCTACTTGGGAGGCTGAGTGGAAGGGTTGCTTCAGCCCAGGGAGCAGGGGTTGTTGCAGTGAGCTCGGATCTTGCCACTGCACTCCAGCCTGTGTGACAGAGTAAGACCCTGTCTCAAGGGGGCAAAAAAAAGTGTACTTTTCTGTTTAAAAGCTCTTAGCAACATTTTTAGTCTCTAAGAATATAAGAGGGTTTAAACATTTGGGAATGAGGCCCTGTGGCCAAGTTTAATTTGCAATTATCCCAATCCACCCCGTGCCTTCCCAACTTGGAAAAATAGCCCGAGGAGCTACTGTTCTAAACTGGGCATCCTCTTTGGTATTTGAAATCTAAAAAGTAAATTATACCCATGATACATGTTATATACAAGTATAATATGTGTAAAATGCAAATAAAATTGTCACAGCATTTAACAACTAGTAATAGCATTAATGATATACACTTGAGAATTATTTGTGAGTGAAGAACACTGATGCCCTTAGGAAATGGAAGATTTGACCGAGTTAAAATATATATTTTAGAGAATGGTTTAATATTTTAGATAATAGCTTAATATTTTAGAGAATGGTTTCTCTCCTTGACAGTTTTGTCTCTCCCCTCCACTGAAACTTAGAAGAGGGCAGGAGTGCTGTGAAGAATGTCCTATTGAGGTTTTCACACATTCGAATGAAATGGGATGAAATTAAAACCCTCCACTTTACAGGGAAAAGAGATGAAACTGAAGCACTCATTCATCTCACTCTACTCCATCTCAATCTGAATGTTACAGCAGAGGCTGACCTGTGAATCTGATGTGAATTGTGACAGAATTGTAGAAATGAAAGTAAGCTCTGATATACTTCCTTCTACCTTTGATCCTGGTGGGTCAGCCCCAAACCATTACAAACGAAAGTTAATATTTAAGAAACTTTCTCATAGGCAATTTCCTCCAACTGCAACCTAAATTCTACTTTACAGAACTTCACAGACCATATATATATGCATACACACACATACACAACACACACATACACACACGAGTGTTTTATATATATACACGAGTGTTTATATATGTATATATAACATACTAGTAAAATAGTGAAAAAATAACGTGTTCAGGGTAACTAATCAGCACAGCAGCATCCCTCAGAATACCTGCTAAACAACAGCAACAGCAGAGAACAGCAGGCTTTGTCACCACCAACAATGCCACTTGTAGCATCATAGTCCTCAAAAAGTTTTGGATTTTAGAGCATTTCATGGTTTGAATTTTCAGATTAGGGATGCTCAACCTGTATAGTGTACCTTAATTCAGACTAACCATGTTTCAAGCGCTTAATAGCCACATGTGACCAGTGGCTACCATATTGGAGAGGGCAAGTCTTAAAAAAAAGGCTGTGAAGCATTTAGCATTATGCTAGGCAAAGCGAATTCCACAAAATCATCATTCATGTTGTCATTAGAGGACTGTGCAATCTTCTCAATGCATTCACTTCCCTAGACCGACCCTGTCTATTGTGCTCTTAGAAGTACCTGGAGAGGTTCCACTGCTCAAGCTTGAGCCCTTCAGTTACTTTAAAGGTTACTTCCTTACGGTCATTCCCCATCTATTGTATGGAGAGGGTCACAAAAAGTGGCCTCAGTGGGGGGGTCTTCATGGAAAATACACACACACAGAGTGTCAGTGACCTTCAGGGTACTAACTTACGAAACCCCAAGAAGGAGACATAATCATATTGATAGGACAGGGTAGGACATTTGCTAAAGCAACCACTTGCTCCTATACTTTTCCCCATCCAAGTAGTGAGGTTTAGCTAAGGAAAACATGTGATCAACATGTGATCAAACCCAGGACCAGGCGTGGTGGCTGATGCCTGTAATCCCAACACTTTGGGAGGCTGAGGCAGGTGGACTGCTTGAGCTTAGGAGTTTGAGACCAGCCTGGGCAACATGGTAAAACCCTGTCTCTACAAAAAATGCCAAAAAAAAGAGCCAGATGTGGTGGCACATGCCTATAGTCCCAGCTACTGAGGAGGCTGAAGTGAGACAATAGGCTGAGGCCGGGAGGCAGAGATTACAGTGAGCCAAGATTGCACCACTGCACTCCAGCCTGAGTGACAGAGTGAGACCCTGTCTCAAAAAAAAAATAACAATAAAAAAATAAGTTTAACATAGAGTTCCCTTACAACTGAACAATTCTCCTAGGTATGTACCCAAGAAAATTATAAAACATACATTTCCACAGAAGCTTGTACACAAATGTACACAGCAGTATTATTCATAATAGCCAAGAAATGGAAACAACCCAAGTGGCCAAGAACTGATGAATGGATACACAGCATGTGGTATATTCATACAATAGAATCTTTTTCAGCCACAACGAGGAATGAGACTGATACAATACGGATGAACCTTGAAAACATTATGCTCAGTGAAAGAAGCCAGTGACAAAAGGCCACATATTGCATGATTCCGTTTAGATGAATATTTATGTTAAGCAAATCCACAGAGCCAGAAAACAGATGAGCGGTTGCCGGGGTCTGTGGGGAAAAGAGAATTGAGAGTGACTCTACCAGGCATGGGAGTTTTCTTCTGGGACGACGAAAGTGTTCTCCAGCTAGGCTGAGGCTCTGGAGCCAGACAGCCTGCGTGAAAGCCCAGGTCTCACTACTCACTAGCTTTGTGACTTTGAGCCATGTTCCCACCTCTCCTGTGCCTCAGTTTCCCTTTACAATGACAATGATAAGAGTACCTGCAGTGCTCAGGAGAATTCCTGGCCTGTGGTATAAACTATTTTTTCCCCATTATAATTATTTACGACTTTTAGAAAATCGATATATAATAGTTGTACATATCATTGGGGTACTTGAGATATTTTGAAAGCTGATGGCTGTTTTGAAATATATAATAAATTATAGTCAAGTTTAATCTCCTTACTGTACCACTGAATATTATGATTTATTTCTACTATCTCACTCTGTTTGTACTCATTAGCCAACGTCTCTTCATCCCCCATTCTCACTTCCCTTCCCAGCCTCTGGTAATCACCATCCTACTCTCCACCTTCATGAGATCCACTTTTTTAGCTCCTATATATGAGTGAGAATATTTGGTTTGTCTTTCTGTGCCTGGCTTATTTCACTTAATGTAATGACCTCCAGTTCCATCCACGTTGCTGCAAATGACAGGATTTCATTTTTTTAATGGCTGAATAATATTCCATTGTGTGTGTGTGTGTGTGTGTGTGTATTTATCCATCCATCTGTTGATGGACACTCAGCTTATGTGATAGATATTTCATAAGTGACCCTGATTGCTCTGTCCCCACCCTTGCTTATTTCTTTCCATAGCATTAGTCACTTTCTTTTTTTCTTTTTGAGACAAGGTCTCTCTGTTGTCCAGGCTGAAGTGAAGTGGCATGATTTCAGCTTACTGCAACCTCCACCTCCCAGGCTCAGGTGATCCTCCCACTTCAGCCTCCCTAGTATCTGGGACTACAGGTGTACCACCATACCTAGCTAATTTTTTTTGTATTATTATTGTTTTCTTGTAGGGACAAGGTTTTGCCATGTTGCCCAGGCTACATTCATCACTTTCTGA